ATTTATATATTTGTAAACTACGATAATTGACAACTCAAATTCTTTAAACTATATGAAAATTACGATAAAAAAAAACTTATTTAATTCTAAATATAAAAAAATATATCATATAAACTGAAATTGAGAGGATAAGTATCTATTAATTTAATATAACATCAAATATAGACATATTTTCTTTATTAGGTTTTGTACGAAGCGTGCGTATATAATTCATTTGATGTAGCAAATGAATACTTTGGAAATTTAAAGCACGTTGGATGGAATCTAAGGGTATCCACCCAAATTGACCCAATTTTTGGTTTTTATTTTTAGGAAATATTTCATAATTCATAATTACATAGCTATAAGAATATTTTTTTAAAAAAAAGAAAAATTTCATGGATGAGTGTTTTTTAATAAATAATTACTGATTTTAATAATAATTTTTATTTATTATCATTTATAATAATGTTATGTTAAATCTGTAATATCTATTAAACGTGAATTATGTAACATATATGTACTATAACTCTTTTTTAAAAATATATTAGGCTTGTTTGTTAAGAAGTTATATTATAAGTGTATTAAAATGTGTAATAAATCTATTACTCATTAATAAAATTTGTACTACTTGTGAAAAATAAATTATTCTTTGTAATATGTATTAAAAGTGATGAAATGGAAAAAAAAGGCTTTTATTTGCGATCCAGGTCCAATTAACTATTTTTAAAAGGTCTAGCTTTTAGAAAGAACGGTTATGAAAAATATGTCGAAACTTTGGCTTTCAGTTATCTCTCATCTCCTTAAGTTGTTCTAGTATCTCATCCCCTTCTACTTACCTTTGTCTATATTAATCTATCTATACTTAGTATGTTATTACTTGTTGTGTATATCATACGTTGTACTTTGTATTCAATGATAACAATATAAATTAGTGTTTGTATTGGAAATCGGGTTTGTTTCGCTATAAATGATAAATATTTATTTTATTATAGTGTATTTATGTAACTTTCCCTTGATTAAATGTGTTTTAGTTGTTATATTTGGTCGCAAATACTATAAAATTTCCAAGATATACCAAATATAGACATCAATAAACACTATTAACCCTGTTTATTAAAGCAACACCAAAAATTCAATCATCTCATTACAAATTTTCAAATGTAGACCTATTTGGATAAAAAAAATGTTTTACATAATTTAATTATAAACATGTAAAGCCAGTAATTAGTTATAACCATAAAATCACAATACATAATACTGCAAATGTACATTTAATAGTCTATTAAATTCAATATCATGGGAAAAAAAATTATTGATAATATTTGTGTCATCAATTTAAGACGGCACCTACTGATAATTTTTGCATTTCCTTTGAATAACTTAGTGATCATTATTTCAAAAAGTTAGAGAAAATAACTAATTAAGCCACTAAAAGTTCACTATCATAAACAACATTAAGCAACAATGGGCTAAATGGGCTTGGACCATTTTTGCCACTTCTAATCACCACTCATCTTGAACCTATGTTTCCAACTCCATTAAAGGCCCATATTAGGAGCTAGATATAACAAAGTAATTTTAAAAAGACATGAATATTAGGAAATATGAATTTTGTGATACGTGGTCTCCTAAAAATTGAAGTGTCTAGTCTTTGAATTGGCGGAGGCAGGAGCGGCTCAAACATATTAATGGTCTAAAGAAAAAATCAAATGGGGCCTTGAACTTGAATTGTTAATAACTTTTATATAATTGATTTCTTCTAGTTTTCAATTGATAAAGTTACCATTCTTATTTTAAATTATTTTTCATGAGATATAATACTCTAAATATGTCAAATTTCTTCTAATAATTCCTTTAAATTTACTTTTTCTACAAATAGTATTCAATATTTATTAAAAAATAATAACTTATAACCTATTATTATTAAAAATGAAACCCCTTAAATTTGAAGGCATAAGACACATTTTTTTTAACACTGTCGAACCACCCGGACGGAACCCAGCCCAACTTATGATCAGGGTCCTTCGAATTCTTTTTACTTGAAAATTATACTATTTAAGTATTTATATATATAAAATAATGTCTAACCACCCTTGTCTGCTTGTTTATTCAAATTTTGAACCCCTTGTCCCCAGACTTCAATCGCTCTACCAATTTAATAACTAAAGAATTTCACTTGTTCTAACTTACACATATTCATGAATATATATGAATAGATTATTGAGGTGTGTCTATCGAATATTACTTCAGAAATATTGAATATTGATAATAGTTTAAAATGTGAAATATTATTGCATATTGGAAAGACATAAATAAAGAATTTTTCCGCGAAGTACCAATGTTGTTCTTTCAGCTAGTCATAAATATGTATGTCGAAGCGGTAATTGGACGGATTGGATTGAATTTGGATGGTTATTAATGGGTTAAGACAACAAATGGGTCAAGACCTAACTCAAATCATATTTGTTTGAGTAAAAAACGATTGAGTAACGGGTTATATATCAATCCATTTTTTAAGAGTAACTTTCACATATAATAAACATAAAAAGTATATTTATATGTTATAGCTATAGTTCGCATAATTGCTCTTTATAACAAATTTTCTATTTGTTATGGAGCTTTTGATTTGTATAATTCGCTACATAAAACCAATTTTAATAAACAAATTGTTCAGTTTAGTATAAATTTCTTTATACATTGTAATTTGTATAACAAGGTTTGTATTTGTATAATTATAAGTGTATATGACGAAAATATATGTATTTGTATTTGTATATACATTTTTTTCTCGCTTTATACAAACACAAACACATTTTATACATTTATATACCGAATGAATAAATGTATATCAAGAATGACTAATTGTATATCAAATCAGATGACAAAAAAATGAAATGTTTGATGCAAATTACAAATAAAATAAACTTTAACTGTAATATTTAATTTGAATTAATAATTTGTTATTTCATATTATGTTACCTTTTTATAATGGACTATGTTAACAAATAGGGAGGTTATTCCTAAACAGATTGAGCGGATTGGATTAAATGGGCTTGATTTTGCCACCTCTAAATTTACACGAACGGTGGAATACAATTTATTTCAAAATGATATATATATACAAAATGCAAAACAACAGTTACCGACACGATTACCTTGTTGATCGTTGAATTAATCAACACATGAGGACAATTTTAAAGTGATGATTTAGTGGAATTAAGTATGGTGTTTTGATTCCTATAGAGGATGTCTAAACCTAGTTGTATTTAATTTTATCAAGAAAAAAAGTGTATTTGGGTTTCCCTTCTTTATGAATTAGTTGTATTAAATCTTACTCTTGTGACCTTAAACATGTCACGTGAAAAATTGAAATTAAATTGTTTCAAAAAAAAGAAAGAGGTCATTCTTTTTAAAGCAAACTATAAAGGAAAGAAGGTCATTCATTTTGAAATGAAGTGAATACTTTTTATTCTTAGTTGGAGCTTGTTTGAATTGGCTTTTTGCTATAAATTAGGATTTTCAATTTATGACTTTTGATTTATTTTTATTATTTTGACTTCAAAATAAGAGTTTATAAGCATTTTCTAATTTTATTCAAACACTTCAAAACGGTTTAAAAACTATTTTAACTTACAAATATATAAAATAAGTCAATCAAAACGGACACTTCTTCGATTTTGATACGTTTACTTGCTTTACCTTCACGACTTCATTGATGTAGTCAAAATCAGTGTGATAGCAAACAAATGTGTTCAATCGAATTTGGACAAATTAGAAATGGCAGAATTAAAGAAATGGGTTATAATTCAATGCATCTATTTTTACAGGTAAAAAGTAGTGAAAAGTTTCGAGTCTATTTAACTTGTACTTTATACAATTTATCTAGAAGAAAAAGAAAGATCAAAAAAAAGCTGGCATTAGAATAACTAACATTTGGATATAGTCAGAAGTAGAATCACGATCTAAGCCAAAAAAAAAAGGCACAAAATTATTAACGTACATAATAGAGAAAAATCTTAATCAAAGGTTAAATTAATTTTGTTTAATAATAAGCTACATCTAAACTAATTACTCTTAATTTTAGATGTGATAGATTTAATTAATAAACAAGTTATGCACTTATCGTGTATCTACCTACAAAGGTTGATTGCATCGAAAGGCCCCAAAATATGTATATTTCTACTCATTCAAGCCATTACAAGACAAGCCAGTCATTATGAAGAAAAGATTGATAAGTGCTAAGATCGAGGCCTTATTTGTTTTCATTAAAATTAAGAGGTCTAAATCTGAATACACATCTGAATATTAAGTTTTGCATTAAGATTTGGGTGTTTTAATCTGAATACACATCTGAATATATAGATGTGGTCTCCAAATCTGAACACAAAATATAATGTTGTTTGTTTTCAATGTCTGAATGTGGAAGTGACATTATATTAATAAAATATTATAAAATTTTCATTTCAACAAAATATATCACTTTTAATATAAAAAGAAGTTTTAAAAGTTTTGATAATCATGATTTGGAGTACTAATTTTTCATTCAAAAATTTTGATAAACAACAATACACCAAAAATATTATTGCAACAATTGTTCTTGACACACATCAATACAATAAAATTATTAATATAAAAAAAACTACTTCAAATGATTTATGAAAACTTAGCAATCGAAAAAAGATGGTGTTTGATTAAAAAGTGAGAAATAAAGTTTTTAGTTATGAGTAAAAGGCATGTCCAAATCAGAGAATTTATGATTTATTATTTGATAACTTACTAAATGAGTCTGAATGTTGTCAAGAGTCTCCTACATATTTGATTTAGATCTTTTCAGACTCATTAAGAGGATTTTTTAAAAAATAAAACAAATGAACTTAATGAGTTGAATCTGAATGATTGAGATTCAGACATAAAAAAGCAAACATAGTTAATGAGCTGAATCAAAATAATTAAAATCTAGATCTCCATTAAGTGAAAACAAATGAGACCTAATTCAAAGAATGTCCTTTTGAGATCTCTTTACTTCCAATGCAATAATAGTACATTGCCAATATATATTGATCTCAAATTTCAACTTAATATTGTTCTAAATAACAAATAAATGCTTGCCAAATCAAGAAACAAAAAGGAAATAAAAGACTATATTATAGCTATATATAGTCTAAAAGAAAACTATACAAACATATATATCATTATTAGTATATGTTTTACAAGACTCAAAACATATATAGAGAGAGATAAGTGGCATCATCACCAATCTAAATCAGTCATCACTTTGTTTTTCTCTGATAAGCATAAACTTGACCAACAACTGCTTAATAACCCTTCCCTTTTCCTGCATTACATGAAGAAAAAAAATTCTTAATAAATATTTATGGGTGTTTCTTAATTTAAACTCTTCTCTTTTTCCTTTTCTCAGTGGGTGGGTGGATGGTTTGACGTTCCAATAATGTCATATATATATATATATATATATATATATATATATATATATATATAAAGTAAGTAAAAATAAAATTATGCTAAAAAATAAGATTGTCTAAAGTAATAATCTATGTTACAAACATGCTTTTTTTTTAGTAAGTTATTCAAAAGAATGTCACATTTTTATATAAATTAATTTTCTGTTACTCTTTCTTTTTTTAGAAAAAATTGTAATAAGTCAAATACTAACGTATAGATTGACATGGAGGAAGTACTTTTTCTTTCATGTAATCTGCCAAATTCGCAAAGCTTCTAACGATGATAAGATAAAATTGTGTAACAGAATTGACTTATATCCAAAATAAAAGTTCAATTCTCTGTTCCGTCTCTATTGTTTTGTATGCAAACAGGATTTTCTGTTGATATTGAGTATAAGATTGTCTCGCTCTTAATTAAAGATTTTGAATTTGAATATTGGAAAATTCATAAAGAGCACTTCCCTTGTAGTAGAGCATTTTACGTGGCAAAAATCTGAATTAGTTCGATCAAGAAATCTCGAATAATGGATGCTATTCATAGGCTATATGTAGCAGAACTAGTACTAAAAATCAAGCACAGATCTAGGCCTTTGGATGGTGGTGTAGATCTTATATTTATATTAAAATTTAGACATCTTTAAACTTCAAATCGTGCATACGCATCAAAATTAATTCATCATCGTTGAAAAATAAAGAAATGAAGATATGTACTACCTGTTGTTATTGTTTCTGCTACTAGTACTGCTGCCTCTGCTGCTATTTCTGCCACTGCTTCCAGTACTATTGCTGCTACTTGAACCAGAAAATCTCTTCTTCCACCAATCTTTTTCCAAATTCTTCGAAGTCGAATTTTCACATTCTTCAGGTTTTGGAGAAACTCTAGTTGTATTTACTGATGAATTCTTGTTTTTCGTCTTCTTTGATCTCAAAGAAACAGGGGTAACCATTTTGATAAATACCCCTCCATTTTCAATACTCTTGCTTCTCATCATCATCTTCGCCTTCCTAATTTGTTCATTCTTCTTAATATTCACTCTCTTCTGTATCATAGCTTGATTTTTCTCACTATTACTATTAATTAGACACTCTTCTTGAGATTCAAAGGATTTCGTCTGTTCGACAAGATCCTTTAGAGAAAGCTCAAAACAAGATTCAGGCATGTTTTTGACCATTTCCATAAGTTCCCATTGCCCTCTAGCTATAGCTTGAGTTCTAGAATTCGGCGAAAGTGATCGATAATTTATTGGACTTCTTGATGGACTATTTTGCCATAAGGCTGGTGATGAAGCACCAGATTCATCATCATCTTCAATTTTTTGATCTTTAGATTGAATGTTTCCATGTTTTTGTGACACATGGAAATCAAAATTGTGAGGTTCCCAATTAGTGTCATTAAAGGTTGTGACAGGATTATGAAAATTGGGTATTTGTTTTCTTGGATCAAACATGATTGATTAAGGTTAAGAGTAGGAAATGGAAATGAGTTTATGAAGAGAGTAATATTTAATTTAGGTGTGAGGAATTTCTTCATCAATTTTGTATGGTCCATTTGTCACTTTCTTTTTAATGACAACAAAGTATTTATTAGTATGTGCCTGCACCTTTTTGTTTGTTACTCTCTCCGTCCCATTTTGTGTGGCAATATTTGATCGGACACGAAATTTAAGAGTAAATACAGATTTTGAAATGTTTATTAAATTATTATTCAATAATAAACTTATTTTTCTCTCTCTCCTCATAAACGTATTTGAGTACTATTTTTAAAAGTGAAACTTTCACATATAGCCATTAAAAAAATAAGTAATTACTCTCCATAGCTATAGTTTGATAATTACAATTTCTAACTACATGTTATTTGGAGGAGACAGGCGAGCGAGACTGAGAGAGAGAGTAGAGAGGCGAGAGAGAGGGAAAAAGAGTAGAGAAAGGCAAATTGTATATGTATATTGGTTAGATAATTGTATATTATACATATGTAATTGTATATATGGCAAGAGAGATTGAGAAAGGGAGGAGAAAGGCGAGCAAAACTGGGAGAGAGAGGAGAGAGGCGAGCGAGAGAGGGCAGAGAGTGGGAGAGAGGTGAATTGTATATGTATATAATTGTATATAACTATTGATTATACATATACATTTGTATAAATGGCAAGCGAGATTGGGGGAGGGAGGAGAGAGGCGAGCGAGATTGAGAGAGGGAGGAGAGAGGTAATTGAGAGAGGGCATATAGTGGGAGAGAGGTGAATTGTATATGTATATAGGTTAAAAACTGTATATTATACATATTTATATGTATATCTTGGCGAATTATACATATAGAAACATGACTAATTATACAAACTCGAATTAGCCCACGTAATTAATGCATAATGTTAGTCGTGAGTGGTAATTATATCAAACTGTAGCTATGATGAGTAATTAAATAATATAAGTTTACTTATCCACGTAATTTTCCCTTTTTAAAATTAAGTGAGACCAACAAGGGTAAAAAAGAAATTATACATTTAAATACTTACCATATAAAGAAATGTAATATTCTTTTTGGGACTAACCAAAAAGAAAATAGTGCCACATAAAATAAAACCGAAAGAGTACTAATTTTCTCTGTCTCATATTAGATGAACATCTTGTTAAAAATATTTATCACATATAAAATCAAGATGGAATTAAATTAGTTTTTTTCCATTTTAACTCCATAAAATAAGACTTTTGGAAGTCTAAACAGATTTCGAAGAACTGAGAATTTCTTTTTTCGAAAAGTAATGTAATATAAACAAAGTGTAAAATAATAAAATGAATCAAGTTATGAGTAATTTCTTAGTTATTAAGTAAAATAGAAAGTGTACATCTAACATTGAATACAGGGTAGGTCTTTGCTTTTTAAAATTATTTTGAAACAAAAAGAGGTGTGGAAAATTAGTATTCTAAAAAGGAAAAGTTGCCAAACGTAATTTAAAGTGTAAACCGAAAGAATAATCTACTACAATAATATGAACCACAAAATGCTCTGAATACAGTATTAATTTCTGTATCAATCTTTCGGACAAAATGACAATAATGTCCCTTTTATATATGACTTAAAAGACTTTTATAGATTGATTTAATAATTGATTCTAAATTTAGAATTATTTAAAATGAGTGAAAATTAAAAGTATGATTCTTCCTAATTTTATTTTGAATCTAACTATGCATTTTTTGATTTAAAAAGTTAATTCAAACAAGCTCTTAAAATTTACTATATCTACTTAGCGTTAACTAAATTTTTCAAAAGTAAGCACTCCTAGTCTTCGTAATTTTTTTTTTTACAATCTTTGGTTGTTAAATTATATATGGTAAGTTTCGTCAAATCTTTTCACATACACATGACAATATAAAAAACTACTACAGCAAATAAAATTAAATAAAAAATAAGTTGTAAAAATTGCACTTTCAAATGTGAATTTATATATTTTTTTTAAAAAAAAATACACATTTATCGTTGAATTTAATAACCACGGTTTGTTGAATATCTAATGGAGATACAGATGTTCAATTTGACAAACTTAATACATCATTTTTGTAATTTTTAAAATGTATTTGGACTAAATTGTCGAAATACCACGAGTGATAAAATCATAAATGAAGAAATTTAGTCTAAGGTAGGAATGTCCTCGATGTGGATAAGATTAAGATGATTAGGATAAATATTAAAAAAATTCACAGATTTATACTTTAGTAAAAAACTATGAAAGGATGACTGTGGTAGGCCTAGGGAGAGGAAGATGTATGCCTAAAAAGTCTGGGAGAGAGGTAAGGTGATAAGGTAGGACGAAACAACTTTAACTCACCGAAAACATGTCCCTTAACGTAAAGATATGGTGGTCAAGTATCAAAGCAAAGGGTTAGTAGATTCTCAAACATTTTTCCTTTTGATCTTAGAGAATAAATTTAATTTTTACATTTCCTTTGTAAAAATTTTTAGTATTATATGTCAATCTCTTCCGTTTTGCTTATTTTTATTACTTAGTTGCTATTACTATTTTTGTTTCATCTCTTTTTTAGATTAAAACTCATGAGAAACAATCTCTTTATCCTAAATAAGTATAAGATGTGATTTATTTATTTTTTTTAATCTTGAATGTGTTATTATTGTATTTGAACAAATACCGCTCGAGGATGTACTAAAAGAAACAATTTGAACCTTCTCCAAACACAAATCATTGTTTTTCTTATTTTTTTTAATCTTTCTCAAAATAAAAAATATCACGTAAATTGAAACGAATTATTTTTTTTAAAAAAAATTAATATATTCTAGAAACTCGACACTTTGTTAGTGGTGTACAAAATCTATTGCTCCATCTATTTGTTAATGATGAACATCAAAGTAGTTGGGGGTAGGACCTCTTTTTGTCCTGAATTTCCTCGTTTTTGTCCATAGTATGTGGAAATAATTACTCTCCTTTTTTCTATGGCATTGAAACAATCACTTTGTCCTTTTTGAGATAATTCACAATTTCCCCCTCGTCTATATCCGTAATTTTAGAGATACAATTTTATTATATTAAGGTATTAATATTTCTAAATTTATTTTATTAATAATTTTTTATCTTTTTTCAATCTACATGGCACTATCTTGTAGGTTCAATACTGATTGACTTTTTTTCAAGCTAGCATCACATAGGTTAAAGCGATAGAAAATTAGTTATAAAATAAGTTCATGAGTAATAGAACCTTAGTATAATATAAGTATGTCTCTAAAATTTCAAGCATTGATTGAGCGAGTACTCGTGCTTTTTCCCTTTCTTTTTTCATAGACCTCAAATGCACGCCTATCTTTTTTTCAAATAAATAATAATACACATTAACGGATGTACGATTTCAAAATTTATAAATTTTATATACTATAATTAATTTTATAATAAAATATTATAAAATAATTGTATAATATGCGTTACCCTTTTTAAACTATATTTTTCTTGTATTAATCTTTTCATTATTAATATATTTCTTATAGTTAAATGTCATAACTCATTATGAGATATTTATTACAATAAAAAGAGTCTTTTGTCTTTCTAAAAAATTCTGCTTCAATCAAGTATGTATTCTTTATATAAAAGTCCATACAACCAAAAAATGAACAAACATAGCTTATATGTATTGTGTTCGTTATGAAAAATGTTTTCCATATATGATTTTAGAATATTTTTTTAAAAAAATGAATTTATAAGAGAACAAACGTAACTTTTTTTAATTTATTTTAGTATGGAAACATAATATATTATCGTAAAAGGATTTTTAAATAATCAACAAATATGGGAGGTTGGAGTACTGAATGGTGAATTATAATTACGACGTGTATAGAGAGGACGGAGAAAATATAATTAATGTGAAATGTTATTTATGAATTATTTAATTTTACTACTTCGGTTAGTCTTTACTTTAAACTTTTTTTTTCAAATTTAAGATCCAAACATAAAATAATAATTACGTTTAATATTATTACCAATAACTAGTGTGTCTCAAATACTATATGTTTCTTTTAAGAACTATAATTGATTGCTTGCAATTATTTCTTTTCTTATTAAAATGATTTGAATTTTTTTGCGGCTTTGCTACGTCAAGAAGTATGTGGCAGACATCATAAGGAGATCAAATAAGGTTTGCACCCAAACATTTTTAAATAGGTGAGAATTATATAATGTTAGTTCTTTTATTTTAATTTCAATTATTTTCTTTTAATTTATTTAACTTAATTAAAAAAAAAATCGGTTCTCATATGATTATGGACATGATATTAACAGCATTCACAAAATTGTCACCATACGAATAAACTATCTGGTGGGAGGAGAAAAACAAATGCAAAATATATACGAGATATCATATTTGGACATTATTATTTTATTTGTATTTATCTGTTTTAAGAAAAATTGGATAATTCATAGTTAAAAAGAAAGGCAAAACTTACATATATATATATA